AAGCTGAAATTTTGGAGTTTTTGGGGTTACTGTAGGTTTTGAAATATTTATGGGATTTCAAAACTTCCAAAATATCAGAAAATTTGAAAATTCAGAAACTCAGGAATTGGGAAATTCGACCCCATGGACCCCATGGACCCCATAGACCCATGGATCCCATGGGCCCCATGGATACAAGCACTCCATGGACCCATGGACAAATGGACCCAAGGACTCGAGGACCCATGGACACATGGACACATGGACCCAAGGACCCCATGGACCCATGGACCCATGGACCCATGGACTCATGGACCCGTGAACCCATGGACCTATGGACACAAGCACTCCATGGACCCAAGGACCCCATGGACCCATGGACCCATAGACTCATGGACCCGTGGACACAAGTACTCCATGGACCCAAGGACCCCATTCACTCCATGGACCCAAGGACCCCATTCACTCCATGTACCCTATGGACCCCATGGAACCAAGGACCAAGGACCCATAGACTCCATGTACCGCATGGCCGAATTTTCGCATCCCATGGCCTAGAAAACTCACTATAATGCCAATACAGCCAACGGAAGTGAAAACATCCAAAAAATTCCAAATTCTCTCTCCATTTTCTTCGATTCTCCAGTACATTGGTGAAATAAATGCCACCTTTTCGGAATCCTCGCCATAAAAATTTTGCAGTTCGAGTTTCAGAAATTCCTGTTTTTCTACAGTATTCCACATTCCAAATTTCACAAAAAAGAACCAAAAAATGAAAGAGAACATAGATGGAACGAATAATAGAATCAGTTTCGGTCCATCGAAGAATTTCATTTGGTCCGGCCTGAAAATAACGGCCTAGAAATTTGAAAATTGGAGTTCTAGGCCATGGACGTGGCCTAGAAAACTCAATAAAACTAACCGACAGAAAACGAGAAATCTGTAGAAAAACTGTGTTGCTAGCAGGGAAATAACCAGCGCAAATGAGCCACAGTAGAGACCTTAATTAGTTTGTTTTCATCTTCTGCACCCCATGGACCCCATGGACCCAAGGAGCCAAGGACCCATGGACCCCATGAGCCGAAGGACCCCAAGGACTCATGAACCCCATGAACCCCATGGAGCTCATGGACTCCATGGACCAATACACCCGTGGATCCCGGGAGCCATGAAAATTAAAAAACTCAGAAATTCGATTGGGAAATTCGTTATTCAAAAAAGAAATCGAAAATTCAAAAATTCAAAATCCAGACAACAAGTATTTATACCTGCACTTTGAGCTCAATTATCTCGGTTCCTATGAAAGATATCTAAAAGTGGTCAACTGATAAAATGTTTATCATAATATCATCAACATTTCATCAGTTGATACATTTTTGATAGCTTTTATAGGAACCGAGATATTTGAGCTCAAAGTGATGGTGTAAATATTCATTTTCTGGATTTTGAATTTTTTGAATTTCTAATTTTACGAATTTTGAAAATATGTTTCTAGACTAAAATTTTGTGCTGATTTTAAATTTTCCATTATTTCAAGTCCAAAACCTACAAGTAACATCGTTTCCAATCCATTTCTCATATTTCATTGGACTATCCATATAAACCACAAAAATTGGTCCATAAATATGCATAACCGGTTGGGTGGCAATTTCAATCCATGCGTAGATCAAAGAAAATAGTGCAAAAGCGCCCATTACGTATCGATAGGCACCAAAAAGTGTCCGCGCTTTTAGAATAATCAAGTAGATCAAAAAAGCATTTGTGAGTTGAGCCGAGAAAAAACCAAAAT